GGCGATTCTTTGAGCTGCCCAAACTAAGCACATTTGCGGAGCATCAATGCCTTGCTTTCTCCGGTGTGCTATTTATTAGGGAGTTTTAGTAGATCGTTCTAATGACACCGATAACGATACTTGATACTCCGCCACCGCCTCCATTGCGCATGCATAGTATCGTTATCGCGGCTATCGGAGGTATCGGAACGATCTACTAAAACTCTCTAATATCTCTGAATTCAAAAGATCCTATTGAGAAAGCGGCAAATGAAGCTGATGCCGAAAAAGAAGATTACATTTTCTTTTTCCACAGTCTCCGGTAGAGTGACGTCAGATGTTGTATATTACTTTCAAGTCGAGCACGCGGTCTAAAAAGCACAGCATTTTGTTGTTGTTGTTTTCCTGCTGTGAGTTTAACTAGCGTTGATTTCACGGCGTCGAACACCTTGTTACGACGGCTGACGTCACGAGCCCAAATTTAAAACTTCAATAACCTCGGGAAAAAAAAAAAAAAAAACAACAACAACATTGTTGTGAGCTGCAATCTGGGTTACTAGTTCGGTAACCCACATCGCACCTCTACCATCTAACACGGTATCTAACACGTCTTCGATTACTTTCGGTGCCCCGGTGCTAAATAAAGGGTGGAGATCTGGACCACGACCTACTGTAATTGTGACCTGCCCTAAGAACCCGTCCCGATGAAGTGCGTCCCTTTGCCACTGGGGGCGCTCGCGGTAAAGGCCTTCCAGAGCCGTTTATACTGCGAGAGTTTGGCCAATGGGCGGAGCTTGTTACCCGCTAGAACCATCGGATTTCGCGATAACACAAAATGGTATTAGTTCGGTGTCTCCTTTATTCCTGAGAAATCGCATAGAGTTCCTATGAGTAAGAACCACAAAATGGCGGACGTAAGTAGTCATCCCCCGGTCGTCAAACTACACTGCTGTAGTTGCCAGGCTGGCAAAATCTTCCTAAGAAGGCCAAACTCTCTCAGTATAAACGGCTCTGAGGCTTTCCTGTGACCCAAACGCGGTTCACAGCCTTTTTAGAGCGCGGTCCGCAAGGCGCGCGGCTGGTGATATCTGTTTCCAGGGGACACCTACGGTAGCGTGGCGCCAGCACGCTGCGGTAGCGGTAACACGTAGCAGGGTGCATCGCTCTCATGTTTGTTTGGATCGAAAAAGCGTGTTTCTCAGGCACCGAAGAGCCATGGCGTTTTTTAGCTCCGACTTCTCTCGTGCTACCGTCGAAATAAGGCGCGTTCTCGGATCACGCCAAGCCACTGTGCGGGCAGCCGGCGCCTCTAGGGACAAATCTGTCGCGCGACCATGGACTGACGACTTGATCCCGCGAGGCCTGCGAGGAGAGCAGGTCAGGACTAGATAAGGCCGGCGCGGATTGCGCGCCTTCGATTGATATGCGGATACCCCAGGTAACTGAAAAGCCTTTATGCAGCGCCGCGAAGTCGTAGCGCGACGAAACGCTGCAGCCGCTGCCATGTACTACAAGGTGCGCGCTGGCACCTTGTAGTATATTTTTCTATGGGCAGGTCAAGATGGACACCATGTATGCGCCGTTTTCTCCATTCAACCATCTCGGTAAAATATATGTATATATATATATATATATATATATATATATATATATATATATATATATTATCGTTCGGGGGAAGGGAAATTTCCTTGCCTTCCCCCGAACGATTGCATATAAAAATGTCTAAATTGTCGGGGAAGAGGAGTGGAGAAGCCTTCCCCCCCCCCCCCCCCCCCCCCCCCCGATCTTTTTATTATTTATATCGTGTTCCAGAATGCATCTTACGTTATATTCCGAGGACGTCAAATGCTTTCTTACAAGGAACGAGAGCCTGTATGCCGTCTGCTCGGCTCAGCAATTTACGTGTAACAAGAGCACTGGTCGCCTTCGCGGCGAGCTTCCGTTAACGAGTATCGCCTGTCGATCTTCGTACCCACCGAGACCGGAAAAAGGCGTCCGCTTCGTGCGTTCACCGCTCGGGCCTTTTGTTTCCAAGTCGCAAATCTCCACACTTTTCTGCGGTGCACAAAACAGCATACAAAAAAAAAATTCTAGTTTTTGCCGTGTTTTGCACACACATACTTATAGAATAGCGAGAGCCAACCCTTTGTGTCCCCCAAACAGCTCGGTGCGTCGCACTGCGCATGCGCAAGCTTCTGGTGACGCCCCAAGCTGATCGGCGGACGCAAAGCGTTGGGGCGTTCTTACGTCCATCTTATCAATTGCGGCGACAGTAAATGCTCAATACATTCATTCGTACACTTCCACGCTAAATCTAGCGAGTCAATTTTTTCCCGCTATGTTTAGCGGAAAAAAAATTGCTTCCTTAATGGCCACAACTTTTCCCCGCTAAAATCAAAGGGAAAAAAGATTTCCGCTAAATTTAATTATCCGCTATATTTAGCGAGAAAAAAAATGTTCTACCTAACTTAATGGGGTGCCACGAATCAAAAAGCATGCGTTCTCCTCTCATAGCATCCTTCTCCACTCCCTTCAAAAACGAAAAAAGTGTTCCATAAGAAATCACACACACAAAAAAAAAAGGTTGTAGTACTAACCATGTTGAATTAACCTCGCGTTCCAATATGTTTGCGCACTGTCTTTGTGTATGATGTGTGACGGCACGGCTTTAGATGCATGATCTACGTCGCCGTATAAAATAGGAAAAAAAAAAAAAGAAGAAAGGTTTGTAAATGTTATAGCGTCACTAACTCGAATCCCGAGCAACACGTCAACAAGATTGTCACGTCTCACGAGGATCTCGACGTGCGTAAGGAGTGACTGACAGTCGCGGACGTCACGTATGCTCCTCTCTCACCCCTGACCTGGTGGGGGCTGCTACACTTCGTCTGCTACGTCTGCCACCTAATAGGCGTATCTGGTATAGGCGACGAAAAAATAATCCAACGTTTCAACCTGCAAATAGTAAAAAAATAAAGGGGAGGCAAACGACGAAGTGCGACGTTTACGCTTATATCCTAAATGCCTTCTATTGGCGTGGCAAAGGCAAAACAATGTTTTCGTCCATACTGGAAGTGACGTCAATTCAAGATGGCGGCGCACTTACAGGAAACGTCTATACGTCATCCTTCGGCCACGTGACCGGGCTCTTTGCAACTACGTCGCCTGCAACCACAGCCCGTATATCCACACGCATAGAGCGGGGTCAGGTGATGGAAGGCAGGCGGATTGGATTGATCCGGCGAGGCTGTAACTCCCGTCGCACTGTCAACTTATGGGTGGACGGAGATCCACCCATATATGTGGGTGGATCTCCGTCCACCCACATATATGTAGATATATAGGCAGATTATTGAACTGTACTTGATCGAATGGCTCCGCCGTTTCGTAAAACATTGATTGATTCGATCAAGTACGGTTGATTAATGCGCATATTTTCGATGATTTTCTCTTCAAAGACCACGGACGATGACGAAAAGTGCCCGTGATTTTTTTATATATATATATATATATATATATAAGTATATATATATATATATATAGGAATGAGTGAAGATTGACTTAAGTGCAGCCGTAGGAATGTTGTGAACGAAGAGGGGGAGAAGGTGATTATTGAATTTATTGCATTAAAGTTAGGGAAAGCCTATGGACAGAGCAGGAGAAAAATTCGGCCAGGAGCGAAGATTGAACCCCCACCTTTTTTTTTTTTTTCTTTTTGTGTGTGTGCGTGCGTGCGTGCGTGTGTGTGTGTGTGTGTGTTTACAATTTGAAATATTGCGCGGTGTGGACTACACAAGGATTTTTTTTTTCCTATACTCGTTTTCACGTT